GGCCATTGGTGCACAATGCCAGGTGCCTGCACCAAGGATGGCATTCCCCAGGCACACACAGTGCCCTGCGTGTCCCTCCCCATGTCCGACACCACACACGCCGCTCCAACGCTGCCTGGCAGTGCTGGAGGGGAGCCTGAGCCCTCCAGGCCCCGTGGCCTCCCTCAGGCCGAGCCCCGTCCTGTGGTGGTGTGGCCGCCACCCACCATGAGCCCCTCACGGGGCTGCCACAAGCGGGGCCGGAGCCCTGCGAGGCAGCGAGGGCTGAGCTGGTGCAGAAGTAAGCAACAAATCCTTGTTTTCCTGACAGACAGACCCTCGGCGTCAGGCGCAGGGTAACATTTTTCTAACAGCCGGCCCTGGATTCCTGCCTTGAACTGCAGCCACAAGCCTGCTTAGGATGCCGGGAGACCCGCAGGATTATTTTTCTTGGCAAGCAATGACTCCCTCCAAGTTGTTACACCATTGAAAACAGCTAATAACATTTTACTTAATTAAACAGTGTGAGGCCTAACAACATAGGCCGTCACTTTTTCCCTTGCATTGTATCGCTGCGGCATCCCAGATGGGAGTTACGTATCCCCTGGTCGGGATCGTGCGTGCTCGTGAGGGCTGCGAGCACAAAGCCGTGCCCTCTGCCGTGTTACGTTGGCCACAGCTCTGTGTGTCCCCACCCGCAAAGACAACAAAGCACCAGCTGTGCCACTCGTGGCGCAGGCATTTCCCATTAAAAAGGTCAGCAGAGCCACGGCCTGGAGCTTCTCACCTACCTTTAGCCCTCTGAAGCTTCCATCTCCGCTTGCTCTCCGCCGTTCTCAGGTTTTTTGGCTTTTCTCTGATTTAAAGCTAGCATATTAATAAAATATCTTTACCTGCCACCTTGGCTTTTCTTCGCTTAAATCGGGTTATGTCTGGAAGACAAAAGCGCTACGTGGAAGTCAGCTGGGAGTGACACAAAGGGGAGTCTTGTCTGAAATGGCTGGCGGGGAGTCAAGGCAGTGAAACGATAGCTATCTCAGGCTGTTTGCACAGCAGCGACTCCGAAATCATATTTCACTGTGGCAGGAGAGAGTCTTCATCGTGTTTCTTCAGATTTAGGCTCGGGTCTATTTCTCGCTGCAAGGTTATTATAAGCACTCCAACCTGAAACGGTTTCATTGTGTCCACACGTTTGTTGTTTATTATTATAAACAAGGGTTTCAGGGCCATTAAAAATAAATTGGAATGGGTAAAAACGGAGTGAGAAGTATGAGGAAACTGAATGATTGAAAACACCCATTTCAGCATCTCCAGCAGAAAGCTCCCTCTCGGAGCAATGCCTTCCTTGCTAGACAGAGGGGAAAAAAAATTCTGTTTTCTTCTCAGCCACACCGCATCCTCCTCCTCCCGGGGACACAGGGAATGGAAATAGATGGGAGGCCACATCTCAGCCTGGGTCTGAGCAGGTCTGTGCCTAGAGGCACTCACTCCCACCAGGGGAATGGGATCTGCCAGGATTTTCCACATGGACATCGCCAGTTACAAGTTGGTCCAACAGACACTGACCAAAAGCCAACACATTTCATGCGCGATGCCTGACTGCCACACAAGGGTTTGAGGGGTCTCGGAGCACTGCACCAAACCCCAGCAACCGGCAGCTTTGCTGACAAGCCTGGCGTCAGATCTTCTCCCCCAGGGGAGAGAGCACTGGGCACTGTGTCCCCAAGGCATGGCCCAAGCCCCAGCAGCAGCTCCACTGCAGATGTTTGCCTTCACTCACCTCCCTCCTGCTCTAAAATCCCAAACCAGACCTCACCAGAGGCTGGTGAGTGCCTCCTGCACCAAAGCCCCATGGTGGGAATTCGACTGAGCAACAAAATCTGCATGCAGACCCCACGACCATCCTTCAAAGGGTTACAGGCACCGCAGGGCTGCGGCATCGGGGATTAGGAGCAGCCCCAGGAGCAAGCTCCAGGGCTCGGGTTTTGCTTTTGCTCCCGGCAGGAGGCAGAGCCAGGGTACACAGTGGCCAACAGCACGGGGCTGTGGGATTACCAGGGGTGTGGGGAAGGGCTTTCAAGAATGAAGCCCCAAACCCCACAGTTAATGACTGTCAATTAGTGGGGGGGCAGCAGCACGCACTTGGGAGTTAAATGGGTGGGAACAAACTGCTTTCTCACATCCCTCTGTTAAGAGCATCTCCATTACTTGACATTCCTAAAAATCTTAGAAAAACAAAACAAGAAAACACCCCGAGAAGCTACCTTCTGGTCTCATTCACACCAGAAAACATCAAAGACACAGGTGTTACTCTACAGAAACGCTAAAAATTGTTCCAGTGAAGTTAAAAGTTGGAATTAATCCCCAAAGCATGGCTGATTACTCCACGAGAAGACATGAAAGTGTGCGTTACAGTGAGGCATGCTGATAAATTCGGTTTTGCCTGCACGTGTGGGTGGCACAGGGGTGAGCACTGTGAATGCAGCCAACACAGAGACAGACGGCTGGCGTTGCTTTGGAACAGGCGCCAGCAGCACAGCGTGGACCTCGCAAGGGTCGGGTTTTCTCCCGCACGTAAGAGCAGTCCCTCTGGGATTTATAGGTCTGATCTTGGCAGGCTCCTCCTCTCCTTGCCCCTACCAAGGTCAGCACTGTAAGTACAGGCAAAAAAAGTCCTTTAAGAATTTGTTGTGCAAGGAGGTGAGACAGAAAAGCGGCCAGGGACAGAACCTAAAGCCCAGAGAGGAGCAGGGCACCTTGATGCTACTGAGGGGCCCTGGGAGCAGGGCAGCAGCCGGACCAGGAGTGTCCCATCCCGCTCAGCTGCATTGGCCGTGCCTCTGGGACAAGTCCATCGCCCAATTTCAAGGGAGGAGTCCCACCTGGACTGATCCAGGTGTGCCAGACAGAGCCACAAGGCCTCTCATGACGTTTTACACAAGATGGTAAATATGTTTGAAAATCATTTTTCAGTACTGTCAGGTTTTTTGAAGCCCCCTCAGTGCCTCCTGCAGCCTAAAGGATGCCAGGGACTCAGGGGCTGTCAGCGGCACTGGGACAAAGAGGACACCCAGGGACAATGCTGTTCCCAGTCTGAAAGTGAGCGATGGGGACAAGCCACCGGCCTTCGCCCTGCATCTCCTACAGAAAAGACAGCACCAGTCTGGAGAAAAGCTTTCCTTTTCGTTAAAGAAGGAGAGGAGGAAGCTGTACCTGCAAGGACGGAGTGCTCAGCTCCACTGCCAGCAGTGCCTGCAGTCAGCCAGCGCACCCCTGTGCCTTCCCCTGCTCACAGGGTGCGTGGGGTCCATAGGGGCAGCCCCTGCTCCCCACACAACACACTGAGCCTCACGCCCTCCTCACCCTCATGCCCCCACGGCAGCACATGGATGCTGCCCCCAGGCAGGCTCCTGCTGCCTCCAGGCCCCAGCCCTTCACCAAACCCCCCTCTGACTTCGCCCTTCCTAAAGCAGGAACACTGAAATAGCAGTCAGCACATCATCTGCTCCTTCCACTTCTTTGACAAGACCATCAGTGCACCAGAGGGCAGAGGAAGCAGCCAGGGACCCCCAGACCAAAGCCTCCCCCGCTAGGAGGGGCTGGGGCTGCCCCGAGCCAGGTGTCAAGCTGCCTGCTGGCACGGGCAAGAGGCTGCGCGTGGCAGCACATCGTATCAGCACCTCTGTTCTGTGCTCAACAGCTGAGCTGGTAATCTCATTAGAAGCTTGGCTCGGCAATTTCTCCCCGCCATAAATCCACGTCAGTTCACACCCACTGCAATAGCCTTCAGCCCTTATGAATGAACTCCCGCAGCCGCCTCCTCTGCCCAGACTGACACCAGCCCCCATTCTGTGCCGTGGAGCCCGGGTCAAGCCCGGTGGTTCTCAAGCCCACGATGTTCGGGGGCGTTAGGAGCAGGGTGCAGCAGCTGAACCTCCTGCAGCAGCGTGGGGCATGCATGGCACCGTGTGCTCAGCAGGACCGCAGCCCCACGAAGCCATGTGGGATGTGCTGAGGAACAGCAGGTCAATCTGTCCAGGCCATATGTCCTGCAGGTGGTCACCGTGATGAAAACGGGGATGTTCTTTGCAAGGGATAACAAATCCATGCTTTCATGTTAGCTGAATACTGGTTAACAGAAAATGGGTGTTAAAAACCCACTGCAGCATCGCTGCTTCTCAGGATGTAGGAGAAACCTCCGTTTCCACCTAGGCAAAGCAGTTGCTTTGTAAGGATTAACCTCATAGTTTTGCAAGTTTCCTCCAATACAGGACCCTCAGTCCTTCACTCCATTCCCTTCCCAACTGGCCCACCCAACTGCCAGAGCTGCACCACACCAAACCAGCACAGCCGTGCTGCAGAGCCGTCCTGCAAGACACGCTCAGAAAGGGGACGGCAAAAGAAATCACACTGTGGCAGTCTGCAGCTCCAGAGCTCTCCTTGTCCCTGTCCGCACACGTCTGCTGCCACTCGGGGAGTGGTGACAGACTTACCGAGTCACCCGAGTGCCTGCTCTGTGGAAATGAGGCCTGCAGTACTGAGTGCCTGGAGCCCCTCACGCACACAGCCCCGCTTGCTCAGACCTCGCTGGAAGACCAGGGAAGGGCAGCAGGACGGAGCCGCGGGGCTTTGGTGCCCGGGGAGGCAGCCCGAGCAAGGCAGGGGCCAAAAACCCCGCAGCACAGGGCCCCCTGCACCTCTGTCAGCACCTGCCCAGCAGGGAAGGCGGCAACAGCACATTTCTGCCCTACACAATTCCACTGCTCACAGAGAGAACTGGTTAACCCACAGCACGCGAACTGATGGGATGCACCCTCACTCTGAGAAGCTTGTTTAAAACTCCTGTTTCCAACCCTTTTTATTATTATTATTATTACAGGTAATTAAACAGGAAGCATTCGCCCCACGTAAGAGTGTCAGGGGCTATCAAACTGATGGATTCAACCTGTGGACAGGCACAGCCTGTGTAAACAACGCCAGAGCCTGTCGGAACACGTGGAGTCACACCTCCTGCCCGAGCAGGGAATAAGGAAAGCGCTGAGCACCTCACAGAGAAGCTGACCGGCAGTGTGGGCTGCCCGGGGACACGCCGCCTTCATTAAGAATCCCTCTCCCTGCTGCTCTGCACAATGCGCTGCCACGACGGGACAGCAGAGCAGGGTTTGAACATCTCGAGAACAGAGGCTTGGCCTCCTCAGGTTGGGGTTTGTTCATGTGGTTTGTTATTTTTTTTGCTTTTCTGTTTGCTCCAGCTTCAGGGCCTCCTGCTCAGTACCCAGCACAGCAAACATCTCCCACGGGTTTTGCAGCCCAGCTACAGACACACAAAGTGCTCTGGCGTTCATTAGCTCAGCGAGTATTTGTCAAGTAACTGTCTTCCCCCAGCGAAGCTGCCAGGAGCTGCACAAGAAGCCTGACGTGAACCATTCCGGTGTAAGTATCCAAGTTGTTTCTGTTAACCCCCACTCTTTGCACATCCCCATGCCACTGGCGCCTTCCAAACCTTGTATAAGAGAAGCCACCCCCGGTGCGGAGCCGAGCTCCCCGCGCAGCCCACGGTGAGGAGCTCCAGCAGCAGCCCCAGGTCACAGTGACTGCCCAGCACCTCGGGCAGGCACGGGGCATCTGCCACCTGGGCACAGAGCAGCTTCAAGGCAAAGAGAAGCAGGGAGACTGTGGGCAACTCACACACACTGTGGAAACAGAGCCCGAGGCACGAACTCACCGCCAGCTCCAGCCCGCGATGTGCTCCCCAGCGGGAAGAGCAGAGGCTGCCTGCACAGCCACGCAGCCCTCAGCTCCGGTGGGACCTGGGTTTGGAGCAAAACACTCCTCGCTTTAGGACTGGAGCAGTCCAGGTGCTGGAGAAAAGGCACTGAGAGCCGACAGAAGCAGCAGTGACCTGTGAGGGATACTCGTTTCACACCAACAGGAGCTCACGGGTGGAACTGGGAATATTTCAGGAGAAGAACCACACATTAAAAACGCATTTTTAAAATATATGCAGTAATTAAAAACATGAGCGTACATGCTGGGTTTGATCAAATCCTCGCCTCCTGGCAGGCCTACACAAGGCACAGATGAGCTTAAACCTAGTGGCCAGTGACCCTGTGAAGGAGGCAAGCTGAAAGCGGTTTTGTTGTGCTGGCGGGGTGAGGGGAAGGGAAGGGACACAGGACGCGGGATTGTGCTTTGCTGGGAAGCATGACGACATCCCGAGAAGGAAGGGAACACTCTAAGCCTTCTGGCCTAAATTATCTGCTAACACAAATAATCAAATTCCAGGGACCACACTGCTCTGGCGCCACTGAAGCGAGGGGGAGGCGTGGCCCCAGCACTGCGTTAGCAGGTGGCAGCCTGCGGCTGACCCGTGTGGGGGACTCGAGCGCGAGCTACACAACGCTGATGCTCTCCAAGGAAGCCAGCAGCACTCTCGGTACCGTGGGAAGTTTTTAATGGCTCGCTCAAGGCAAGGCCTCTAAAATGTTTATATTAATGCTCGCATGTTGGATAGCCACTCGCTCACTCTCAGCTGGAAAGCAGTCCAAGCAGCTGAGAAACATCTGGCCGCTACCCTTGGACAACATTTAATCTGGTAGCCCAGGGATTTAAGAGGTCTCTTTGGAAGGAAAGAAGTTTGGCAAATATCTTACTGCGATCTCTGTTCTGCTGTTTCCCAAGCCCAGTCGTTGCCCCAGCGTCACACACAGGCGCTCTTTATCATGACCCTATTTACATAGCCCAGCAGCCGAGCCCCAGCGCTTACAGGCAGCTGTAATTAAGCATTACCCCCAATTTCCAGGAATACTCCTGAAGGTGTGGGCCCGTGTGCGCATCCTGCTGGCATGCTCCCCCCTGCTCCGAGGGAAGAGAAAGCAGTTGGCTGTCAACTCCCAGCCCCCCTGCTCACCCCGACACCCTGCCCCAGCCCCAGCATGCTCAGGCCCTGCATTGCCAGCCCCGCTGCCTTACCCCGTCCCGCACTGCACCTGGCAGCACTCACACCCCACAGATCAGCACCTATCTGCCCCACAGCCTGTGCCACGAGGCACACAACTCCCCTGTTCTCTGCTGTGTTTATCAGGCAAATGCTGGGCAAGGGGGTTTAAAGCAGACGTGTAAAGAGAGAAGGGAAAAGGGACTCGTTTCTGAGAGGGAGCTCAGAGCCTGCTTCCCCTCGCTTTCCAGAACTCTTGCCTCTTCCTCCCTACCCCAAGAAATTTTGTCGTTGGCTATCCTGACACTTTCTTTGATGAGTGGAGAGCTAATGAAATAAGATAAAAATGTTGAGCAAGTGAAAGAAAGGGACTTTTAGACAGGATCTGACATTTATTCTCCCCTCTCGTTACCCATCACCGTACCGCAAGGCTTTCTAGACAAGTCAGGGCAAAGCCGCCAACAACCTAGCTTGCGAGGTAGAAAATTAGGACAGGACCCACATTTCTGAAAACCCTTTGTAGGCTTTATTCAAAAGGAGATAAGGCTGAAAAAGGCGACAAGATGCTCGACAGACATAAAGCGATGAGAATCTACCTTATCTCCTTATCTTCCACGTTGTCTTCTGCTCTTTGCTTTTTTGTTGCAACAAACAGGGGAGACGTGGGGAAAATGTAAGGGCACAAACAGAGGGCACACAGCACCCAGAAGGGATGGATAGGGAGAAGACACTCAATAAAAGCTAAAAACGTCTCTTTCCTAGCAGGGGCTGAGCATCCTGGCTCTGCTCCAGCAAAGCACTTAAGCGTGTGCCTAACTCCTATTTGACTTCACTTGGGCCCTTCACAGGCTTGAAAGTTAAGCACCTTCCCCAGCAATCTGCTGCAGCAGGACCGGAGAAAACGAGAAGCTGTTAAGGGACCTGACTCTTAGTCAACAGCAAAGTTAACGGGCTTTTGGATAGCATCTGAGCCAAGGATTAATGCAAGATGGCAATTTCCACCGACTTAGGAAAACTCTGAGCCACCAGAGAAAACTTAAATTTAAATTATTAAGTTGAAAAAAAAAAAAGATATTAAGAATATCATCAGATTTCTTCACCGTCTTTGAGCTTGAGGTAGGTAGAGCTTGAAGTAGGCACATATTTACAGGTACGTGCAGAACTGGAACTCCCTTGTTTCAGAGCAAGCAAATGCCAGCTTAAAAAAAATACTGAATTCCCTGTGCTGTTCCTTGGTGCAGGAAACGCTGCCAGGTTGAGGCTAAGCTAACCTCAGACGCCTAACGGCCAATTACTGCAAACAGCAAGGTAAGCCGCAAGCAGCACCTACAACTCTAAGCAAGACACTACAAAGACTGATATTTGGAAAGGGAGTGAGCGCACATCTCATCGCTTCTTACGCTGTCAAGGACTCTTGAAAAAGTCTCTGGCTTCTGTTTCCCTTGCTAAAATTGGCAGAACTTGACGCTGCATCTGCCTGGTACTTCCAGAGGGAGCTCTGGTATCGCAGCTCTCAAGCACAGCTAAGATAAAACATTTGGGCTGCTCTGTTGTTTGGTTGGGCTGTTTGCCCAAGAATTAGGGGCACAACTGCATTCAGCTCTGCATGCACTGCCTGCTGCTCCTGCCGTGCTGCTGTTTGTCCCTGTATGAATCCAGGCTGAAACTCCGACAGCACTGGCATCGCACAGAGCAGCTGTTGACACTTTTTGGCTTAAAAGTTGTTAATCTAAAACTTTAAGTTTCTTTCATCATCATTAAGTCCAAAGCACTGAGTTAAGAGTTCAGAAAAGGCATATTTAAGCACATGCTCCCCAAAAACACATGGAGTTTAATTACAGCAAAGCAAGAAGCAAGGAACAGGCAGTGTTTATTAAGAAGTAAAACCTCACTGCACTGCTGGTCTCCCCTTAATGCCTCTGCAGTGAGAAAGCCGTGTTAAACAGGTTTTTAAAACTGAAAATGATTCAGGAGAAGTATGAAAAGCGGTTCCCACAAGAGGAGTTAACATCGAAGTGAAGCAGCCCTTGCACTTTGCTTGGACCAAAGCGTTGCAAAGCCTGCTAGCTCCCTCTGCCGTCCCCACGCCAGCAGCTGAGTCGAACACGCTCCGCGACCACCGCCGGCACTGCGGGTGAGGTTTTATGGATGTGTCCGGGGCATTTGCAACCACGACGCCTTGCGCAAACCCCCGAGGCAGCAGCAGGAGCAGGCAGAGGGCAAGGTCCTGCTCAAACCACAGCCTCTTCCCTGAGCAACGCTTCAGTCACTTCCAGCAGTACCGGCTCCAGGGAACAGCATCTATTTTATGGCCAACGCACTTATTACCTCTTCGTATCTTTCCCTTCAGACACACCAGTTCAGGACATAAACCAACGGTGAGCAAGGATCAACTCTCAAGTGCCGTGCCTTTATACTGCCAGAGGTAGAATAAATACAGAGAAGAGGTGAGGTCATTCCCCGACTTCATTTCTGAAGTGTGACCCAGCACCCAGAAACCCACAGTGCCTGTGGGATGACTGATCCCTTCCACGATGCACACACACTGACAAAGCTACAACACGTGGACTCACTGGCAGCTGACTCTTAGTGTGTTTTTTTCCCAAACCATCCCTACTCAGAGTGGAATATCAGTGCACTGGAGTACCGGTGTGTTCAGAGTGAAGTTCCTAGGTAAGAAAAGGTACACCTTTTTTCTTTAAAAAAAAAAGTACAGCTGAAGTTTGTATGACAAATTGTGTTAACACAGGACTCTTGCTAGCACAGATCCCAGAGAAGCATGGTTCAGGTCAAACTTGCAGCCTGCAAAGCAGATCAGATGGTTTCAAAGGCTTTAGAACCATTGCTTGAAGTGTGAAGGCTGGGGAAGCACCCAACACGTACCAACCACGCCCTCCTGAACAGGACAGGGGTGTTCTTACAACAGCGACACCCGGTAACCACACCATAATTGTCGAGCATTGTTGCAGTTGCCATTTAACATCTCTCAATACCAAGCTGTTTCAAAGAAACACACGCACAGGATGCTGACAAATATTAGTCGCATTGTCTTCACAGACACCCTCTGAGCTACCCCATGACTGGTTAGTATTCCAGACTAGCAAACAGCAGCAAGTTTCACATACACAGCTCGTTCCCTCGTCACTCCTACACCCAGGAAGAGGCAGGTTTCACCACATCGAAATGAACGCACAACCAGTACCTTCTGGCAATCTTCTTTAGTGGAGACACCCAAAAAGGGCAAAATTCTGCAGTCCTGTTTTTAATCGAGATTTACAGAGGAGGTCTGCTTTTTACAGTTCACTATTTGAGGAAAACCAGGTAAAATTTCAGGTTGTGAAGTTCTTCTTTAACTTGATGGACAGTGTAGCATGCAACTGTACGTGGATTTGATTTCCTCAGGACTACAGCACACAAAGGTCAGCGCAGTAGCAGAGCACCTTCAGATAGCACACGGCTAGAAAGTCGTTCCTGTGGTTCCTTTTCGTCACATAACGTTACCAACTGCCAAGTCTATGCAAGTCTGTCTGAGGTTTTGACTACAAATAAAAGGTTCTCCTTGGCACAAAAGCAGCAGCTAGATAAAGACAATTGCCTTTCACCACCAGTTTACATACTGTTATCTACGTGGGATCTGTAGGAAGGTACTTCCAACAAACCCAAAATTCCATAAGGGATAAAAGTTCTAAACATAAATACAATTAAAGCCTTCTAATATTAATGCACACTTTTTATTATATTAAAATCAGGCAATGGTCTGATACAATAAAAAGGCTGCTTATGGAATACTGTTATGTTAAACTTTAATTACAGAGGATGTTAAATCCTTACAACTAATATTTTCCTCAAAAGAGTTAATGGAAACATCAATTGTTCATTGACTTGAGAGCTGCTGCTTTCAAATGTGTTTATTTTTTTTTCTTTTTTTTTTTTTTTTTTTTTTTACACAAACACTAGATTTTTTCATAAAACTTCGGACACACTAGGTTGTTGGTATGTAAGCCTGCATCCACATTGCAGCAGTTAGTGGTCCAAAACAGTAAAACAGAAAAGGCAGTGATTTGCCAGGATGCAAAGCCAACAAAGGTCCTTAATCTGCTGTACGCACCACTTCCCCAGAATCTTCACAGAGGGGTTTTCACCTCCAACACTTAACAGAATCCTACTGAAGTCTACACTGACTTGATTTGTCTGTCAGATCTTTAAAAAGGCCGAACATAAGTGCTGTGTTTTAGTTAATTAACATTCTCAGGTCAATCCAAAGCACCAAAATACAACTATTTGAGTTGGAGTGTGTGTTTATTCTGGACGTGCAGTTTCCCCATTAAACTTTGGCAGCAGAAGATTTCGGCAATCCTGGTAAATGACTGCTCTTTTCACCAAAAGCCTATCTATTAACATCAGCCGTGGCCAGCTTGGTGGTGTGGCAGCAGTGCCAGAGGGGCAGGGAAAATCCCAGTCTGTGAGCAGAACAGATACTCTTGTTTCCCAGGCTGGTGAAGACTAAATTTGTTGCAAAACCAGAACAATAAGCAGGAGGGAACAGGTCAAGTTATTGCCCCAACGCTTACCCCTGCTGTCCAGGGGTGAGAAGAGTCACAAAAAGGGGCAAAAAGAAAGCAGCACCCCCACTAAAAAGAGGGGAAGAGGGAAGAGATTAAAAGAACCCTGAATCCCTCACCAAATGCCCACGTTACTGATGAGGGGGACCAGGAAGAGAAATACAATCTATGCCTTGGCCAAAGGGAAGGAGGAAAGCTTGCCCCAGATTATCAGGGCATTTAAAAAAATACAAAAACAAAAATGACCACAGTCACATTCAGCCTTTACTAGAGATAGCACAAAGGGAGGGATGACTGAGGTTAGCACACATCCCCATTAGTAGTCCGTAAAGCCCAGTGTAGTACTGGAAGCAAAAACCTTTGTGTCTACTCTAATAAACAGCCCTGAGCTTCGACTCTATTGCAAAAGACAGAAAAAGAAAAAAGAAAAAAAAAAAAAAAACAGGCCAGACACACAGCAAGGTGATTGTGGGAGGTATGCTTTCACAGTTAAGTTAGATGTGCCACACTGGTCTTAACAGTAATAAATTTAAATAGACTTTTCCTGATACCAGAAGTTCAGCTATGTGGACAGTGGTTACACGACAGGATTATTTGTTATAGCACAACTTATATTTCAAATGAAAAAATTAGTATCATTTACAGTATCTCAAGAAAAACTTCCTTTGAATGGGAACTTCCTTTCCAGTATTTTGAGGTCTACAAGATGCATCTAGAAAATTTACTACTGTGGAAAATGAAGACAGCTTAAATTGAATAAAGGGGGCATGATTTTTTTTTAATTAATTGCTGTAACATTGTCCTTCAGGTGGCTGAGGAAGTTTCATATTTTCTTTAGACATCATTAGACGCCGAAGCTCTTGCAGAACAACTTTGATACTATAAGAATTCTGCCATTTTGCTAGAACTGATATGGCTCTGGGGTCCACCTAAAATAAACAAAAACACCATTCCCATCAGAATCAATAATTTCCATACACTTAACTCCCCCCCGCACCCTCCACTTAAAGATCCTTTAAGAAGTTTGTGTGGGAGAAACCAAAGAAAGCAAAAGCAAGCGTTTTTTCCTGAAAGCACAATAAATCCACACAGGACAAAATTACTTGTGAGTTGCAAATGGACAGGAAAATTCCACATTTTGAATCCAGAATATACTTGGCTTGTATACTTCCCTCCTACCCCCCCTTTCCTTCAAGGAAAATGGTACCAACAAGTAAAAAGTATTTAAACAAGTTACAAGCATAAAGCATTAACTTGAAGCTGCACATGAAAACCATGTAAAATGAGTAAAAAAAAACAAAAAACAAAAAACTTACCACTCCATTAGAACTATTTACTCCATTCATATTAATTTTTGTTACAAATCTTACAAATGGAGGTGCTTCTGGATACTTAGGCCCACATTCTATTTTAAGGCTGTATATTCTGTTTTCATAAATTGTCTGAGGGGAAAAGAAAGGGAGGGGGGAACAGTTACATCAGGCAGTTCAACAATCATTTGGTTAAAACAGTGGTTATTTCAGGGACACAAACCGCTAAACAGAAGGGCAGTCACTTACACACTGCGCAGGCTGCCTCTGTTTGGGTTCGTTTTTACAATATTCAGAGTATTAGATGGTGCTCTTCAGGAATTAGCTTAGATAGCTATCTACAGTTGGCCTGTCCTAGAACTGCACTTAAAAATGTTCTTTGGTCATAACCCAATGTGACAGTTCTCAGAAAGGGAATGCTCCAAGATTCACTCAGTTCCAAGGGACAGCCTGATCCCAAGTAGCAGCATCACTTTGTCACACAGCAGGAGCAGTTACTTTAACAGCTACAAAAAGGAGTCCTGATTTTTTTTAACTACCCAATAAATGTGCATAGAAAAGAGACAAATACAACAAGGGTAAAGTGATTCTTCAATATTTAAAAGTAATTAAAAGAAACAATAGTTATTCAGCACTCTGGGAACACAGATTTCTGATGTGCTGGTATGGTGCAGCCTGGCACCAAGCTCCAGCTGAGCCAGGTAAAGCAGGGAGCAGAAGCATTTAACAGGAACAGGATCATTAGGAAGAAGTTTTTACAGGCAAACTGTCCAGATCTAGAGTTTCTTACACATTTCCTCCATCTTCAACGTTGCAGTGAATGCTAAACTCACAAGGCACTGATCAAGAGCAAAAAATCCAGGCTATCGTGAGCGCAGAAGCCCAGAACCAGGTACCAGCTCCTGCCTCACCTGCTGCAGCAGAGCATCACGCCTCCACTGGGCTCTTAAAAACAGCTGCCCGTCACACAGTAACTTCTCCTTGATACAGAATTCAGTGCAATTCTTTTCAAGGGCTTGTTATGCCCATCTTAGTATTTCCCTTGATACTAATGAGTGTTTTGATGCAAAAAATGCCACCAGTATCTGACTTCTTGATTCAGCTGCTTCACGTCCGTGCAAATGGAGTGGTTTAACCCAGCCTGCAGCCACCCATGGCGGCAGCAGCACCCTTTCAGAGCAGCCCCTCCAGTGCCTCAGCCAGCCAAGCTTTCAGATGTCCAGCCTGGATGGTGGCAAACTCAATGCTGTCACAAGATCTGGGGGAAAAAAAGTCACCTACCAGCTCAGCTTGGACTTCCTCTGCCTCCCAGTGGAGCCCCTGAGAGTGCTTTGTGCTCAGAGTTCACAGTACAGAGGTTTGGAGAGTGTTTTAGGGTCTTTGCAAATGGCCACATCCCATTAAGACTAGTGAATGGAAATCCTTGACCATGCACATGTCTATAAAAAATAGGCGCAGACAAAGCTGAAGTTTTGACAGTGCCACTGTTTTTAAATAGTTTGTACAAACAAGATGAATCACTGGCTACAAAACCATCCGCACAGCCTGGGAAGGAGATGCACACTTCCATGTATGGTAGCAGGGACTCTCCGGAGCAGCAGCATGCATCAGCTCTGCACTACAGCTCGCTTCTCCCTCCAGGATGCCCAACATAAGACTCTTCCACCTGCTACAAGCATGATTTTTTCTATCCAGAGGAAACCAAGAGTTTTGATTTCTTTTTCCAGAGCCAGTATTGCCCACATCCTATTAAGAAAAAATGGTACTAATAGAACTGCGTGTGAACAGTTCTAAAAACAGAAGCAGCTTCGAGTAAACAAGAATGTCTGAAAGTTCCCAGAATCTCCCTCAATACGGCCTGTGGCTTTTGAGCAATTAGTTGAATTCTACAAGTCCAGACACTTCTGGAAAAAAAAAATAAAGTATTTATAAATGTGTCAGAAAGACAAAGGAGGCATAGCTGAATAATCTTCTGTGATAGTCCTCTGGCCTTGGTTGGGAGTATGACATGAAGTACAGATTTCTGTCACTGCTGACAAGTCAACATTTGCTTATTTGCTCATTTCACTTCCTATTTAAATTTCTAAATTAGATTTCAAGGTTGCTTAAATTTTACCTAACGTGTATGCACACAGTGCCTGTTCTTCACAATCCTAATGTAAGCTCATTAAAGCTCTCCTAATGTTCTAAAATCAAGTGCTGTTCTGGGAAACAATTTGGGCATATCACCACCAAATGAAATGATCGTGACGGGGGAGATGTTAACAACAGCAGACAAAAAGCAAAGAACACTTCTGAATGTGGTACAAAATACTGCACACATAATGCTGTTATAATACTAATTCTTGCACAAGCTCATCTTGAGTCAGAAAAGGCAACTGATAGAGTAGAAGCACATCAAGCAGCAGAGTGATTAAAGGTGTGTAAACATTTCCATGTTGATAACATCGGAATTTTTGAGAAGTGAATGTGAGGCCAGATACAAAGGACAACATACACTACTGCAGGAAGGAGAACTAGCTACTTGTACTTCATGGCAAGGATAATAAGGAAACAGAACAGGAATACACAATAGAACTGGAGACGAGACACATTCGGTTTTTAGAATACATGCACACGTATAATTTAGCCCTAAAGTTCACTACCATGGAGTAGAGACCCTCAGTTTAGTAAGGGTTTGGGATCAGGGTGGAGGGAATATGCAATAATGCTATCACAAAGACCATGGTAGCATTATGAGACACTACTTTGGGAGAGAGCATTCAGAAAAGTAACTGAATTCATTAAAATTCAAGTTTCCTGAGTTAGCTGAAACTGTAAAAAAGCAAGTCAGTACTGCTGCAGTGAAAACAAACTCCATAAATTCAACAAGCAACAGCAGAAAGGCTAGCAGTACTGAACAGAACATCCAGGTTTTACCTACATGAGCTCCACATGTAATCTCACTAGCCGAAGGATTTTAAACCTTGCTGTATTCAAGAGTACAGGATACTAGAATCCTGGAATCTCAAAAGTTATGTCTTAATGAATCTGCAAATATAAAGCAGACACGTAACAGAACTAAACAGAGAAAGGTACTAAAAATATTCCAGACCATAAGCAAAAGGACATATAGATATATAAACCCATCGTTACATGAAAGCTGATCCTTCAATGTAAGTCACTTGCTAAAGCATTTTGTCACTTTGTGTTTCGCTTGTTTTCTACTTTCTACTAAGGGAAGGAAAAGGGTAAGAAAGAAAGAAGTGGCGTTGTATTTTAAGTGGATGCTTACTCTTGGAGGTCCAATAATCATTCCTGTCCATCTTGTGAGTGTCATATCTTCATCGTCTTCAAGGCCCCAGCTAACTGTTCCATCTCCTACTCCTTTTTGACCTTCTTCAAGTTCTTCCAACAGACGAAAATTACGAGGAACTTTTACTCCTAAAAATAATCAGAACAGTATTTTGAGTAATAAACATAAAAATACCACTGGCTTTGAATGATTATACTTCAACAGTCTGAAGAAGATATCCTCGTATTTACCCTGGACTTTTCAAGGAGTACCAAATATGCTAGAAGCACAATGGGCCTGATATTAGAGCAGGCAGTAAAATGCAAGGAAATCTCTCTGTCTATTCAGAGATACAAACAGTCCTGTGGAGCTCTAATTAGCACTTGTCTATTAAGATCTATAGCAAAGGAATTTGCAAGATTCTACAAAATGTGTGACGTCAAGCCTCCCACAGTGTCATCTCTCTGAGCTTTTAAAAACACCACTCAAACCAAATGAAACTTTCATAACATGAGTAGGTTAATCTGCTGTTAATTTAAGTGGGCTTTGTCGGTAGCAATACTGTCCTTTGTGCTTATGACCTCTATTACCAAAGAATTTCAGCACTTCTTAATTGCTAGCACATTTATCTTCAAAACACACAGCAAAATAATGGGAATTTTTTGATCCCCATTACATTAATGGGAAATAATGGCACAGAGAGCTTAAGCCAAGGTCACACACTGTGGCTGTGATGAAGGAGCTCAGGCCACATGGCATTTGATTATTCATTCTTCTTCAAGATGTCCATACCTCAGCCACCACAAAACACACACGTGCTCTAGGCCACCACGTCTCCTTCAAAGTACCTGTGCAAAGCACACTGCTTTACAAAAGAAACAAAATTATTGCCAGGATACATTTGATGCAGTTATTTTCACCTGTTGTATAAAATAAGGTTGAATTTAGGGTTTGGATTTCTTTTTCCTTCAATAGTCCAAGATTAACTATTCACCAGTACACAGTAGCAGAAAATCATAATGAATCCCCTTCTTTATCCTTGCTGATTTAGCACAGCAGAAGAATGGGCAATTAGCCTTGAAGCACACCAAGTGAACCCAGTGGACTCCTCCATCGAAGTCAGTTCTTCCCACATTCATGGCATACTTCAGAGGACAGAGACAGAGACCAAGCAAGAGCTTTGAAAATCATCTCCAGAGCTGCTTGAAAGTGTGGAAAACAGAGGATGTAAGGCTTTGTGAAATGTAGCAGTGCTTCAATTCTCGAACCTCTGGTGTCCTTACAATCCCCTTTAAGGTTGACCTGAATGACTTAAAAGAAACTAAATGTCAACGCTGGTTTTGCTGCTTGATCAGAGTTGCCAACATTTCATTCATTACAAAGCAAAGCATAAAAGAAATTTAAGTAAATTACTGATTGAATTAGTTTGCAGGCCAGTTCGATACCACATCTAAAATAACCATGTTCCAGAATACGCTGGGAGAAAATGATGCAATTATACAGCTGTAGCGAGGGGATGAGGAGGAACCTAGACCCCCACGAGAGGCATCAGACGGCCCCACCAGACCTGCACCAGCTGCACCAAACCAAACCCATTAGGGGCTGCTGAGCACAATCGCAAGGCAGCTCCACACCAAACCCACATCTTTAACTACTGGTGAGATTGCGCTGTTTTCATGGCCGCTGAGTAATGCAAGTCTTTGCCTGGGAAAGGAAATGAGTCAGCTGGGGCTGGTGAAGCCACCACCACCAGGTGAGCCCTGGCCCTGAGCAGGAGCAGGATCTCCTGGAGACCACCGGCACCTCCCCAGCACAACACCTCCAGCACCCACCCCCCAGGCCTTCAACTTCTGATGGATCTTGTGTACCGTGGGCACAGATAGTCTCAAGCACCCAAATTACACCAGATTAGCCACCCCACTTGGATCACCTTCCTCACGCTCCCCATGCCGCGGTGAGGGGAAGCAGAGAGGGGCACAGCCTGACTGCAGCATGGAGGCCGAGAACGGGGGCCAAGCGTGGCGGACGCAGCGCGTGCTGAGGTCAGCCCCATGTCGAAGGTGTCTGTACACACGGTGCCAGTTTCACAGCCCATCCTGCGGCTGCTGCCCACGGTGACTCACGGCCCTGCCACCGGCCGGGCGGCTGCCCAGGCAGCCCTGCCTACTGGCACACTGTGAGTGGAGCCACCGGCACAGAGAGCCGGTGGGGACAGCCCAACGTCCTTCTGGAGGGAGGAACCCCACCCTCAGCCCATCACAGAAATGCTCAGACAATGCAGGTTGCACCACAAAGGAAGCCGTGGGTGCTATTGTTAGAAACCCAGGGCGAAACTCCACGCTCACAGAAGTGCTCAGCTGGAGCGAGAAAAGCTGTCTCGAATTTGTGGGGTTACCAAAAAACACTTCTGGGCCACAACATCACAACGCTCAGCAAGCGCGATCAGAGTCTCTCTACACTTTGGAGCTCGGTAACACCGAGGTAACTCACTGACATTTCTTAGACCAAGAAAATAACCCAGGAGGGCTCAACACCACAACGGAAGCACTGCCTGCCTTGTGGAAAGCAGGCACAGGGCACACATTGAAGAAGAAAATCAGAAATATCAACTACCGACCCCTCCTCTGAGCATCATGCTCACTGCACAGGGCAGGAATCCTAAGCAAAGAAAATGGTGTGATTTGTAACTAAAAATTACACCATCGTGTACACATTCAGTGAGGCCACAACCAGGCCGAAAGGCAGCCTGAATTCTGACACTTGCTAACAAGAGCTAGGCTTGGGTTGGCAGAGTTCTGGGAGGAGAAGGCAACTTGATTTCAGAGCTCTTCCAAGGCACGGCTGCTCTGATTCAGCATGAATCAGACTCAGCATGAATCAGAGCCCTAAAACACTCGCACAGGAATGTCAAGGTCTGTGACAGCTGTGAGGCCTGCAGAGAGCCAGTCCCATCGGACTCTGGCTCCTATCGCATGGCAGTAGTTAAGGTAAGTGACTGGTGATTCCACAGCACCTGCTCACCCAAGGGCACTGCAGGACCACCAGCGGCAAAGAGAGGTGGCAAAAGTGAAGAACACGTACCTGCAACTTCATGCTCTTCGCAGAAAAAGAATCATAGGAGATGGTTGGTCACTCCACAGCACGTAACCCCGTGCAGCAGCACTCTTGCCTTCTCAAGAAGTTTTATGTCCATACTCAAGCTGTGAGGTCTGAGTGGAAGAGCAGCACCCCACCACCACACATGGCAAGTACATGGGTACAGAACTGCAGGTCAGCTCCCTCCTGACATGTTCCCCAAAGACTCCAACAAGGAGAGAAACAGACTTGTATATATATAAAAGATTATGACCATATGATCATAAATGCTTTAAGTCATTTCTAACTAACCTGCCCCCAAGCCAGGCAGAGGACCAGGCCAGCTGCCCGCCCCAGTCAGCCTGGCGGGCTGCATGAAGCCACAGGCCAAGCCAGGCTTCCCATACAACGGGTCAGCCACCACGTCCTGCTGGGGCCTCAACGGCCAAAGCCAAGCAGAATTTATCCTTTGTGGTTGCGTGCAAACATATCATCATCATGTCTGCTGTTCACCAGAATTCCTAGAAAGGGATCTGGTCTGTTCCATGCACCCAGGCCACTTGCCAAACAACGCCCGTGGCTATCCTAGGGCAGTCCCCATGAGATGCCCTGTGCCAGCTGAGCAAACCGGCAACAAAAAGATTCCACCAAACACCAGCTCCGCTGCACAGAGCAGTACTGATGAGCACTCCTCAGCCAGGCACCTCACCACCGGGCTGCTTTCTAAGTGAGGAGCTGCGAGGCTGTCAGACAGCGAGCTGACACAGGGCGAGGGCAGTGTGACTGCACCTGCCAGAACCTCCTGATGTGATGTCCCGCACTAGGGAAAGCAGAGTTATTCCTGCAACACACTTAAATGCCAGCTTGGGTTTTAAGGACCTTAAAGCACACTCAGATTCATTTTATATCACAGCACCACTAAAGATCCGCAGATACATAACTTGGAATGTCTTGTGATGGTTTTAAAAGTGATCCTACCAGTCGGAGATTTTCTGTCTTGAATTACACACAACCTTGTGAGACACAAAGCATGTTTTCAACAAGCTAAAAACAACATTTACTGGCTGACTATAGAAATCTTTCAATTTTCCCCAGCTATATAGTGGAAGCAATCCCAAATTCAAGCCAATTTTAACTCTGCTCTCTGTACTAGTTCCTGGTTTACACTAATTCAAGAGAACCGGAATCCATTACCTTTAAACACCTCCATTGCTAGACGTGTTAAAGCCCCTTCTGTTGCTTGCTTTGCTGTTCAGCCTTTAACACACCTTTTCCAATACATTTCTCATCTCTCTGCAGAGACTGACACTATCTAGAAATCTGCTACCTTATCCTTACAGCACCGCAATTGTAAAAAAATAAATAAATCAATTCTTGTCAAAATGGCATAGAAAGCTTTCAAAGTGATGTAATATTTAAAACAATAAAAGGCTTTCAGCAGCTGTCACAAAAACTTCCAGGAGATAGGGACTTTAGATTTCCTGCATCTTCTTTACAGTCACTGTTTCCACCTTGATAACGCAGGCAGGTACTGAGATGTTTTGCAGATTCACAATAACTTCTGGAGCACTTGAAGCAATTTAGTATTCTCTGCTGAGTGTAAACTAGAACGCCGCGCCTATCTTTCGTTGCTTTAAGCACATTACTTGTAAAGAGATGACTTCAAAATGCCTGAGGCAGACTGGCATTATCGCTGAGGGCTGAAACCAAATAAAGCTATCCTGCAGACCGAGAGCTGGAGTCAGATGTGCTGGGTCACTTGTATCAGCTGAAAAGGACAATGTAACCAGCTCGGCTAAAATTTGCTCTGGAGAAGAAGTCATCCCAAACTCATGTCCTGGACAAAATCCACACACTAAATCCCACCAGGAAAAGCACCACTTCCTCTTTACGTTGTGAAAAGAAACCATTGTCAGTGCCCACGAGCTGAGCACTCCCCTCCCAGCTGCCTCTTCTACCCACAAAGGATCGAATTCATACCGACCGCAAAAGCAGAGCACACAAGGAGACTCCCGGATTTTGAGATGAGCTTTGAAAAGCCAGACACCGCGCTGACAGGGGTGACGTTACCTGTGCCACAGGATGCTAGCTGCAGAGCATCCCAGCAGTTTAACACCCAACAGGGTATGAGCTACGGGGGGTCAGGCAAGGCACACCCTATCCCACACCTTGCCCCTGGACCACACCACCCTCGGGAGGAGCACCCAAACCCCTCAGCAGGTGGAAATGAAGTCATTTTGGCTGTTAAAATGAAGTCATGTGTGGCTGTTAAAAGCATCCTGACAACCTGAAAATCCAAACCTTAATACACCTCACAACGTTTGCCAGTGGCCCACCTTCTAGGATCCTAACGCATGTACACATTTAATATCCTAATGAATCATTTAAAGTTCTCCGCCAGAACCTTATTCTTCAAATACAATATATAATCTGTATCATTACAGATGAAAAGACTCAACTACCTTCTTGCAAGACTTTGGAACTGTTTACCCTTTTTTTTTTCCATCCTTGCAGCACTACAGACACAAAGAGGCTGTGCAACCAACTTTTTCAGCACCTGCTATTTCACGTGCTCCTATATCCCATCTCATTTAAGAATGCGTAATTTATGTCTCCAGCTTCTCTTCAATTTCTTTTTCCTACCCTCAGGTATTTTACTTACAGGCTGAGAAAGCACTCGGTGGCTGGCAGTATTTACTTTGAGATAACAATGAGTACTGCGTGCCATACACTCAGGGGGAGACATCATGACCCGCTTACAGAGGCAGGGTACTCCTTCCATACCCTTCCACGAGCAGGTTCTTCTGCACTGCAATGGCTGGTTTGCTTTTCATGAGGATATCTGAGTTTACAGTGACATTATGGGTCCTCCAGCAATTACAAATACATGTTTTTAATATACTGTACTAAAACCAGTCTGTGCTTTCTCTCTGTTAGCCATATTAAACCACACACATTGTCACTATTACGTCCATTCCCCTAATGATTTGTCCTTCTGAGGCTCTCCACATTCCTCTGACTTTGAATAACTTAAACCTGGGCAAATCATTTCACTGCTCAGTTCCTGCAGGCTGTTGGCAAATGCAGCATCTGTCACCACCCTGCAGCAGACCCCCTAAAGAAACTTATGGGTGAACAGTGGGTTAAATCACATCATTAACTTTTCCCATGATGGAAGTTGGAAAAACAGAATGCCACAGGCCAATGGGGCCAGTTTTTGACCTGCTGTAATCAC